GTGAGTGTGTGCGTGAAGAGTGACAGAGATAAGGCACCGAAACGGTTAAGTGTCTGAAGCCACTTTGCCGAGAGCCAGATCTGGGAGGCTCTCGGCAAACCTTCCCCCTTTGCCGAGAGCCCCCAGATCCGGCTCTCGGTAAAGTTATTTTTTTTTTCAAATTTCGTTCGAATTTTTTAACTAGCTAACTGTACAAAAAAATATTAAAAAAAATTATTATTTGCCGAGAGTAGCTCTCGGCAAACTCAACAAAAAATGATATTTCTAAAAAAAAATTAAATTTTTCCCGAGAGCAGCTCTCGGCAAACCATTGATCCAGGCCAGGTAAAAAAAAGAAATCTGCGCCAAGAGCGTGCCCAGTTGCTCTCGGCAAAGAGCCTTTGCCGAGAGCAATCCCCTGAAGCTCTCGACAAATAATATCCAAAAAAAAATTAATAAACAGCAAACGGCTCTGGAAAATACGAAATTTTGTCGTGTTACAACTTATGCTCTCTAATGGCTATACAAAAAGTTTAGAACTCCAAAACTAATTCGACCGTGATATTGTTTGAAAATCCTAATGGATCCTTCTCAACTTTATGAAACTTAAGAATCATACGCAACCACTTGTGCGAAACATTTTCAATTTTTTACCACAACCTCCAAGTGTGATACCATGACTTCATTGCAAATATCACAATTTTCCGACTTCGTTTCCTTTTTTAAGAATTTTTAAATCGTTGGGCGACATATGTTCGTGGTCTTCGATTCGTAAAATAAAAGGTGAAAAAAAATGTCAACAAGATGTTATTTGCCCTCAATAATGCATAAATAGCATGAATATCATTTTCTACTTAATTTTTTCCCGTGTTTACATCAATCGCTGTTCAAATTTTAATCGATTAAAAAAACTCCTTGAAATGCAATTAATTAATTATATATAGCAAATAATTACAAAAATACACAAAATTTTAATATTGAGTACAACCTGTAGTATGTCTATAGAGAAAAGTTTGGAGCATATGAAAGAAAAAATAATTTAATTGGAGAGAGTTAGGAGAAGAGAAACACATGCACATGAAATATAGAAACCACATTTGCCGAGAGCAGTAACGGAGGGGCTCTCGGCAAAGCGGTGACGCCGTCAAGGCAGGTCACGGCTATGGGCCCGCGGCAATGTTTTGCCGAGAGCCTGATTTTGCCGAGAGCGCGGCCTACGGCAAAGGACCGTTTTGCCGACGGGCATTTTTTGCCGAGCGCGGCTCTCGGCAAAACGGCCCACTTCGCCGAGAGCTGTTGCTTGCCGAGATGCAGGCCCACGGCAATCCTGTCACTTGCCGACGGCCGGTGTTTGCCGAGAGCCGCGCTGGGCAAACGTTTTCTTTGCCGAGAGCCCTCGTTTTTGCTCTCGGCAAAAATCTCGGATCTCGGCAAAGGACGTTTTTCCGGTAGTGCGTTAGACTTCCTCTTCCTAGATGCTTGCCGCGCACCATCCTCCACGTCCATATCAAGCCGTCGGTTAGCCATCCCATCAAAACCCCCTCCCTCCCTGGGGTCTGTTCTTGACGGTGCCTTTAGCGGTGACTGCACCTCCGGGTTTCCATCCTCGTCCCTAGGCTCCGACAAGAATTGACAGGAGCCCCTGTCACCCCAATGGGGCCGTCCATGCCCTGGTCTGCCTTGGAATGCCCTGGGCGGCCATGAGCCCAACGAAGAACCACTCCCGTGTGATTCCGCCGCCGCTTCAGCAAAGGGTTGAACTCTCCTACTTCGCTCCTCCGAAGCTCTCAACTGAACATCGTACGGCAGCTTGCCATCCTCATTACGAGGTACTGGGTTCTGGCATTCAATATCTGAGTGCCCCATAATCCTACACCCGAAACAATAGAAAGGTAACCTCTCATACTATGCTGCGAACCACTTCGGCTCCTCTGATCTACTCATGCGGCGTAGCACCCCCCTACGGAGGGGTTTATCACAAAGTTTTAAATCTCCGGCTAAAGGGTTTAGCTGCACCGTTGCTGAACCGCTATAGCCGCTAATAGCCCGCTACAATAGCCGCTAAGACACTTTCCCTGTTTTACATTTTTTTGCCATTTTCGTTGTTATTTGCATATATAAACAATACCTTATTCCCTCCAGTTAAACTCGATCTTATCCATTCGGCCACCAGCACCCAGAAGTCTCTGCTGCCGCGTCGGTCTGTTCTGTGTGGGAACAGAGACTCGAAGTGGAGGCACGTTGGGCCTGCTGTCTTTTTGGGCCATCATTGTTTTAGCCGCTGCTGCCGCTAAAGGAAGTTGTATTTAGCGGATATCTCTGGATAAACACAGCTATTAGCGTCTAGGATTGCTTAGCGCTAAAATTTGGTTCTCCTAGCCTTTTCCTTCCGTAGCAGCTATCTCCGGCTATAGCGGCAGCTATAGCCGGAGATTTAAAACTTTGGTTTATCAATCTCAATTGCCACCCGGGCACGTAAGAATGCCCCACCGGCCTTTCCATCATCATCCACATCCATCTTAAACACTGTGCCAATCAAACTCATAGCATGACTTCCCCTTTGTTGATTCATCCAGCCCAAGGGAAGGCTGAGGATCTGTGCCCATATCACCATCCGGTCGAAGACGATCTCGGATGCGCTAAGTCTTTCATCATACTGCTTCAGGATCACGAGATGCCTGCCCACCATCCATGGTGTCCGGTCAAGACCCTCTCCATGTCCGCCTTACTACCTAACTCCGCAACAAACATGTTGTCACCTTTCTCCCTGATGGCCTGGAATTTCAAGCCATACGGATTCCCCCACGCCGGTCTCATGGCAGCCCAGACCATGTTCACATGTACAATCGATGGCGACATAATCTTACCGAACACCGCCCACTCCACCAGCGGAGTCGCCTCGTCGTCCTCATCATCGCTGAAGTCCGCGATCGCCCCTTCATCCTCTGTGAGGTTCAGCTTCCGCAGGAGGTTGGTTACATTCGATTTGGCGCCCTCTCCTCCATCGAAGTCACTCCGGTCTCCCCCCGTTCCACTTCCAGCTGACGCCATTGATGCAGTCTGGGCTAGAAAGGAAAATTCCAGTGATCTACGATCTAAAGGATGCGGACACAGCCACGATCCCAACAGTAAGACCTAAGCGGCGCTAGGACCCTAGTGGGGAATTAGGGTTTTGAATTCTATGGTCGACGACGCCAGGAATGGCTAACCGGAGATTTGCCGTGGATGCCGCCGACTGGGAGCGTGGACGCTGTGACCGGAGTGGTCGTCGGCAGAGCAGGTCCAGATCACCGGTGTGGCGATCTAGAATAGGGGTGGGATCGTGGTCGCCATCAGAGTCGCCTGGGGGAGATCCAAATATTACGCGCCATCCGGAAGCCAGATCCCATCGCCTGTTGGTCTCACGAAATGCTGCTGTGGGTGCGTCTTTGCCTCTTTGGCATATATCTTGTCTTCTACGTTTCCAACAGTGGTTGTTGGAAAGTATTTTTTTTAACCAAAATCTCTATTTAGGAAGGATACAAAGAGTATTTTGAAGCAACCGTTGAGCTTCCAACTTTTTGCCACGCCCACTGGGAAGTTTCTACAGACATTAGAGTAGTATCTACTGGGAAGTTTCTACAGACATTGCTGGGCCCACTGGGATGTTTCTACAGACATTGGAGTAGTATCTAAGGGCACGTACAGTGGGCATGCTGGCCGTCGTCTCCGAGCGGTAATTTTGCAAAATCCCCCCCCCCCCAGTTCGCTAGACAGAGAGCGAAGCCGTCGCGTCATGAGACGACAGCGAGGGCTCGTGCTCCCAGGCGGACTCGACAGCAAGATTCGCGTTGTACGGAGCCATCGCCTTGAGTCGACGCTGTGCGGATCCAGCTGTAGGCGTGAGGTAAAAGAATCGCGCCAAAAATCGAAGCCGTCTTCTTCCTTTCATCCTCACCGGCGCACGTGCGGAGGGCCAGCAGCGAGCAGGCGGCGCCAGCACCGGGGCAATCACGGGGCGAGTAGGGCACCGGCACCGGGACGGGGCGGGCAGAGCAGAGCCGCACGGCGAGGACGAGGGCGTGGCGGACCACGGCCGCACCGGCGAGGAAGAGTTGGGCTAAGCCGGCGAGGAAGTGCTAGGCCGCGCGGCGGGGCAGAGCGAGCAGGGCACATCTCGATGAGGCAAGCACGTCCAGCGCGAGCAGGGTCATCATGGAGGAGGTGAGCTTGGCAGGCAGCAAGTCCATGGAAACTGAATGTTTCTATTCAGCTTCTGAAATCTGATAACTGAACGCACTTCTGTCAGTCACTTGCATGTGTTCAATTGATTTGGATTCTTACCTTTTGGGTGTGAACTAATTAAACATGCCAAGATGTGATTTACTTTATATATATAATATATATGATTTACTTTGAAGGATATATTTTGTATCAATTAGCAACACAATGGTACACACAATGGTACATAGAAATGATATTCATAATTGATCACGGCTACATGCAAGCATTAAATGATTTGTAGATAGCCAAAGAGATAGCAGCTGTCTGTGAGTTGTATGAGCTGTCTGTTTAGCTGTTTATATTGTAAATCCCAAAAACTTACAGACAGCAGCTGTCTATCCGTTGTACATGCCCTAAAAGGAGTAATTTTTATCGTCGTCATCTGGGTATCATCATCAAGACCGAGTTTGGGTTGATGTGAAATATCTCGGCACTGCAACAGCGATTGATGCCTATTTACTCAAAGTGAAGTATCCACGACAGGGAAGTTCCTCGTACATGGTCTACGACACGGTACACCATGTTTTGGACGCGCGCCATTCGTTTTGGATTCTTTCCACATGATATGCTTTGCCGTGTTGACCCGTTGTAGTTCACGCGTCTTTTTTCTTCCACCAACCCATTATATATATTCGTTTGAAGTGCACGCACTATTCCAGCGCGCCTGTATGTAAACTCTTCTATCGTCCCGCCGGATTTTCATCTCCGCAGCGCTTTTTCTTCAGTTCCAATCTTCAGAGTGTAGCTACAATAAACACATGCCGGACTTAGAAGACCCCAGCCCTCTTGTCGACGATCCTTCTCTGCTAGGATGCTGCAAGCCATTGAGAATCAGAACCATCTTACATGGTGTAATGGTAACTGCCCTATTCTTTGTGATCATGTTTGCCTACATTTATCTTGATTACGCTCGCAGCTACGCAGTTGCATCGCTGGTCATTCAGTTAATCGCCTATCTTGCCCTTGGCTGCCTATACATCTGCAACTCCTCCGGTTGGCAGGAGAAGATTATCTCCGCTGCATATATCTTGTACTTGTTCAGTTCGTCTTCCTTGTCTCCTCTATTGGAATCCCAGTTCGCAGTCGTCTTCGCGTTGACTTCGTTTCGGGAACCAATATCGTGGCTATATCCTTGTATTTCGTCTGGAAGTTTCACCTTATTATCCTGCACTCCAGGCTGAAAAAGATTGTGAGAACACTCTTACATGTTGCAGTCGTGGCTATCCTATTGTTTGTGATCATAGTCACCCATGTAGCCAGATTGGATCCTGATCCTCCAAATGATAACGAAGTCATTGCAGTAATTGTATGGGTACGGCTACTCGTTCAGTTAGTAGCCTACAATGCCGTTGGTTGCCTATACATCTTTAACTCCCCCGGTCGGAAGGAGAAGATTATCTCCGCTGGCTTTCTTGTCCTTGTTCTGCTCGTCTTCCTCCTATCCTCGTTTGCCAACACCAATCTTCGCTCCAACCTCATTTTCTGGGCCAATATCGTGGCTCTATCCTCGTACTGCTTCTGGAAGCTTTCTCCTTGGCTCCGGCGATGCCTTCTCGATGCTCCTGGTGCTGCCGTGGGGCCGCCCCGCCATCCGCCGGCACATCAAGAAGAAGCCGTGCTTCGACTCCACCCTCAGACCCCGTTTCGCATCCAAGAGGTGCTGCGGGAATTCTCAAGCGACGAAATCCAGGCCATGACGCACGACTTCGGGAGCATGATAGGGCGAGGCGGCTCCGCCCAGGTCTTCCGAGGGAACCTCGACGACGGCACGCCCGTCGCCATCAAGCGGATCAACATCGACAGGGGGCGCACCGTGGCCGGCGAGGAGGACTTCCGGAGAGAGCTCTCCATCATCGCCAACGTGCACCACCGCAGCCTGGTGCGCCTCCTCGGCTACTGCCTCCAGCGCGGGGGCGGCCTCTACCTGGTCTACCCCTTCTTCGAGAACGGCTCACTCGACAGGTGGATCTTCAACGGCAGCGACGAGCAGCGGCGGCAGCTCACGTGGCCCAAGCGGCTATGTATCGCCGTCGACGTGGCCCGGGCGCTCGCCTACCTCCACAACGAGTGCCACTGGCGGATCCTGCACCTCGACGTCAAGCCGGGCAACATCCTCCTCGACGGCGACCTCCGTGCGCACGTCTCCGACTTCGGCATCTCCCTCTCCATCACCCGGGGCCTGAACAGCGTCGTCGACACGGAGCACCTCAAGGGTACCTTCGGGTACATGGCGCCGGAGATGCTCTACAACGCGGTGTCCGACAAGTCCGACGTGTTCAGCTACGGCATGACGCTCCTCGAGCTCGTTGGTGGCCGCCGGAACATGTATCCCTCGTTGGAGACGCCAGACTTCACGCGCGACTACTTCCCGTACATCGTGAGGGAGAAGGTGGCGCGAGGCAAGGTCTTGGAGGCCGTGGACGCCGCCATGGCGCCCGTGGACGACGACGAGGAGGCGGTGAAGGCGGTGCTCAAGGTGGCGCTCGATCTGTTGCATCCAGAACCAGCGGGAGATGAGGCCCACCATGCAGACTGTTGTGGATATGCTTGAAGGCCGGGTCGCCGTTGATCTCCCGCCGGAGAACCGCCATCATCTGCTCTGAATTTTTATCGTCGTCATCTGGGTATCATCATCAAGACCGAGTGGGTTGATGTGAAATATCTCGGCACTGCAGCAGCGATTGATGCCTATTTAGGGCCTCTTTAGCACGGCTGATGCCAGCTTTGGCTTCATCTATTTTGTGCAAATCGAGGTACTGTAGCGTGAAGCCGTTTTGTATGCCGGGGTTAAAATGAACTAGAAGCCGGAAAAAGCCAGTTTTTCTGGCTTCACCGGCTTTTGCTTCACCAGTGAAGCCGTTTTGGATGAGCCGTGCCAAAGGGGGCTTTAGTCAAAAGGAAGTATCCACGACAGGGACGTTCCTCGTACATGGTCTACACGTACCACAACTGGAACGAGGTTCTTTGCCGAGGGCCGGATACGCTCGGCAAAAAGGCCTTTGCCCTCGGCAAAGGCTTTGCTGAGAATTGCTCTCGGCAAAGGACAGTTGGCACAGTACCTCATGGCAAAGGCTACTTTGCCGAGAGCCGCATCTCGGGCTCCCGGCAAAGGATTTGCCGAGGGTTAGCCGGCCGTCGTCAAAAATTTCGTCGTGACGGCGAGAGGTCACGGTAAAGTTGATCTTTGCCGAGAGCCTTAACAAGCTCTCGGCAAAGAATTTCTAAAATTTTTTTTCAAAAAACTTTGCCGAGCGTCTGTCAGAATGGCTCTCGGCAAAGAATATTGACATTTTTTTTAGCCATTTGTTTGCCGAGAGCTATGGCTCAGCTCTCGGCAAAGGCTTCCTCTTTGCCGAGGGCTATGGTCATGCGCTCAGCAAAGCTGGGATTCTGTGTGTTCCAGAATTCCCAGCTTTGCCGAGAGCATGACCATAGCCCTCGGCAAAGCCACAACCAGTTTTAATTTTTTTTTGTTTTTTGCATTTCCAATCAACAAATAAACATATATATGACATCCACATCACAATAAGCACATCCACATATCAATAACCACATCCACATCACATAATTCACATCCACATCACATAAAAGTCTCGAAGTTCGAAGTCACAAACAAATCTCGACACATAGACAACCACAAGTGTAAAGCTCGACAAGCAACATAAACAAGAGGCATAGGAGGCGCCAAACTGGTCATGGCGACGGTCTGGGCCGAGAAGGCGCCGCGTGCGATCCTGGGGAGTTGACGAGGAGAAGGTTAGGGTCGTTCGACGCCGCCGACTGACGCTACACAAATAAAGAAGATGCAGAACGTGTTAGACAACATAAATAGATAACCAAACACTACATGTACTTTTTACCACCACGACCACACCACCACCACCACCACCACCAACCACGCGACACCACCACCACCACCACACCACCACCACCACCACGCCACCACCACACTACTACTACCACCACCAACAAGCACACCACCACGCCACCAGCACCACCACCACCATGCCACCACCACCACCACGCCACTACTACCACCAACAACAACCACACCACCACGCCACCACCTCGACCAACCACGCAGCCACCACCACGACCACGCCACCACCACCACCCACCACCATCACCACTAGCACTAGGTTTCACTAGGTTTTACTAGGTTTCACTAGGTTTGACATTTAGAGAAACTAAAACATTTGTCATACTCACCGGAGTAGAATCAAGCTAAGGTGGAGGTGTAGCCTGCAGCTGACCGAGCAGGAACTATGGGACCGTTCCACCTTGGGTCATCGCAAGACCCCGCACGTAGGAGAGCACCTCTGCCATCTGCTGCTGATCCTGCTCCTGCTTGGCCTCTAAAGTTGCCAACCTCTGCCGCTCGAGCTCCCGCTCGGCCTCCAAAGCTGCCAGCCTCTGCCGCTGCTGCTCCCGCTCGGCCTCCATCGCCTGCAGCTGTGCCTGTAACATTTGACGCCAATGTTTCAAGATTGCGGAGCTAAGGTATGTAAAAGTCAAAGAACTAGGAATGGAAGAGAACACTTACCTGGAGTGTCAACACCACGGTCGGGCGCTGGCGTATGGCCGGCATTGAGCTCGTGCTCGCTGCTCGGATCTGGTGCAGCGGAGGAACAGAGGTCATGTCGAGGACACCATCGCCAAGCCAGAACCGCTCGTGCTTCTTGCCTTGCCCCACCCTCATCACGAGCTCTGGATCAAGCCGCTCCTCGGTGGTCGGGTCGTAGTCTGGCCCATGGACTGACCTTGCCATCTCTGTGTACGCAGAGATGCGAGGGGCAATGCTGGCATTGGTGAACGACTCGGCAGGGACTTCTGGGGTCCAGTCGGTGGTGGTCGTCGCCTTGCCCAAGTGGGACAAGGCATATGCCTTGAGGTGACCACAAGGGCGGCCACCATGTGACGCCGACTGCGAGAAAGACAATAACATTGTTAGAGTTGTTGCAGAATTAAGTGTTAGGTTAGAGAAATGGTTTCGCCTTACCCAAGCTTCTGAGAATTCGGATAGGTTGCGACTGCCTTGATGGTGTGGTACTCCTTGCATCAGCAAATGGCGCTCGCGTGCTTCATCATGCTCCTTCTTCCAGTCCTGGCTGAGCCACATGTCCACAATCCTCTCCCAGGCATCCGGATGCCGATTGCACCAGTTTGGAATCGCCTACAGGCCATCAAGCAAACGATATATCAGAAGATCAAATTAAGGAAACTTAATCTCAGAAGAAATCAATAGTAATGTTCCGTATTTACCGCAAGGTACTCCTCCTTGGTCAGCATCACCTGTCTTGCCTCGTCCTTTTTGATGCAACGCCCTTTGACCTTCGCGTAGTGCCAAATGTGCGCCTGATGACGCGCGTCGTGAATCATGTCCGTGACACGCTTCTTACAAGAAGCGACCGCCACCTGGTACGCCCTGTGCTCCTTGCCCTCCTGGATTCTAAAGAAATCCTGCATAAAGGCGCGAGGTATCAATTACTTATTAGAAGAATGCCCAATGAATACGATGTATCTGTGGCTAAAAGAATACAATGTGTGCCTGAAAGACTTACCGACAGGTCCCTAACGACCCGCTCCGCCTTGTTCCTATATCTGTGGCCACTACGATCCATGGCATCGGCGGCCAATTCATAGTGGTCGAACTGAGTGGCCAGCTCGAACAAGTCCGGGCTCACCTCCACCAGGTCTGGGTAGTGCTCCCTGCACAGACCTCCTAGGATGCCATTCACTTTGCGTGCCTTGGCTCCAGTCTCCATAAGTTTCCAGTTCCTGCACAAGTGATTACAAAAAGTATTAGTTTGTATTTTGATTTTCAACATTTCAAATGAAGAAGTTTCGAGCACATCTTAAGTTACTTACCTATCCCCATAGGGTGTCATTAGTGGGCGGGCCGCTTCAGGTATTGGTCGACGCGGGAGCTTCGTGGGACCACGCAAGTACACCGTCGACACACTAGAGGAAGTGGATCCCCCTGCAGTCGCCTCGTCCCCTGTAGTCGCCTCGTCCCCTGAGGTGGAGGAGGACCCCCCTGCATCCGCATGCTCCATCGCGGCGGCAGGCTCCTCCACGGCCGCAGGGGTAGTCGGCTGCGTCCTGCTCGGACGCCTACGGCTCCTCCGCCTCGGCACCAGCTCCGGAGGCTGAACCGATGCCTCCGGCTCCTCCTGGCTGGTGTAAAGAGACTGGACGGACCTCCTGGGTGGCATCTCCTGCATTAAAAAAGAACAAAACAATTAGCATATATAAACGATACATAATTAGAAAGAGATGCAAAATGAAGATAATTACATGCAAAATGAATATAATTACAAAAACAGATAATATTACATGTATTAGAAACGATCTCCACGATCAGGATTAGCTGGATTGTACATATCGTCATCGCTATCAACCATGTCCAAATCTTCATCTGCCTCCTCATCACAATCAACACCTAAGTGTAATCGGTCAAGGAACACTATGTCCTTTGGATTTTCCACCTCATCTCCAGAGTCCTCGTCCACAACCCTTTCGATGTCTGTCTCCATTTCGACTAGCCCGGTTAAGTATATCTCAAAGCTCCCTTGTAGCCCCTCTTCGTGTTGATAGAACTCTCCGTCATGTGTTTCTAGGTTCAAGTTGTAATCTTCATCGTTTGGAAGAGGTAGTCTACCATGCGGCGATATTGTGTGAACAACATACCAACCCTTAAGGTTTTCCTCGGTTTGGCAAGCATATGGACTATAATAGACTTGCTTGGCTTGTGTGGCCACAATCCATACATCATCACCTTCATAGACGGAATCCTGTCGAGTCTCGACTAGCCCAAGATGAGGGTACTGTCTCGATACCTCAGGATCAAACCACCGGCATTTGAATATGACAGGACTAAAACGTTCGGCTCCACGAAACTGGAGTTCGTATATTTCTTCAAGTATCCCATAATAGTCCTTGCCATCAGTTTCGGGCGTCATAACTCTGGTATTTGTGGTCCTTCGATGCGGCTGACTCTGCTCATAGCTTGTTGTGTGAAAGCGATACCCATTGACATCATAAACGTTACATGACATGACCCTAAAGTTGAAGCCATCGGCAACCTGCCGCAATTCGACACTTATAGACGCATCCCTGTAGCACTGCAAAGTCAGGCTAGAGCGTTATGTTATTCACACAATCGGCCAACTTGAAATCAAGAAAAAAGGTGGAAGTTGGACGGTACCTTCTTTTGGAACCAAGAAATGAAATCCCGCTCCTTAAGAATGGTATCAACTTCATGAGGGCGAGGTCGCCTTGATTGACGCCAGAATAGATTAACAAATTCCCTGTTTAGACAAGAAACATGACGGGGTTGGATGCAGAATAGTGACGGTGTAAGTAACAAGTTTGTTGAGAACTTACTCGATATACGACGCCACTTCATCTAGGTTGGCCAACAAATATAGCATGATATTGCGCCACTCTTCATTGCTCAAGGTCTTTGGGCTCAGTGCACTTGCTCTTCCGAGTGACCCTTTCAAAAGGCTGAGGGTAGATTTATTTTCGTCCTCATTGTAATGAGTCGGT